TTAAAATCTGGCCATTAACTTCCCTTCTCAGTGCAAATAATACACATAAAAACTTCACTCTTATTTCCTTAATCCGCTGAAGCAAATTTATACTTTACATGACTAACAGAATTTTAACTATTTGTAATTTTCTATATTTAAACAACTTGAAGTATTATCTGATAAGTGGAATAACATAAGTTTCTTTTTATGGAAACAGTATCTGAGGCTTGCTCATTACGAAGAAACTCACCATTTATAAGCTAATATATTAATTTTAACACAATAAAAAATCTGTCTTATATAATAAACATATTTAGTAAACCAACGTATGTATTACCCTACATGTGTATGATAAAATATATAACTCGTATGACTTACTCCAAACAAACCAAAGTACATTAAAATGATCTACACACAGTAGTGACTTTACACATATAAATGGGCTATGCACTCTGACACAGAATAAGATGGTGAAATTTTTAAGAACAGTCTTCAAATTAGGACAAACAAGTCTGACATTGTACTCTCATGTTTAGTCTTTCCTATCTTTATATGTTCAAATGTTATACATACAATGTACCTATAAATACTTATTTCATCTGATAGTTAAGATTGGGAAAAAAAAATTCCTAATCAGGGTCCTTATTCAAAAATTCAACATTATTTGGGCTAAATTTCAGCCCCATTCAATCTACCCAACAACTATATACTGTAATATATTTCTTCCTTTTATAATTTTACCTAACTAAAGCAGATGACTTTGAAATTTGCTTTTTGCAAAATGCAATATGCAGAACTTAACAAAATGAGTATTAATGCTGACAGAAATTTTTTTCCTTTTTCTTCCAAATTTCCCTGCCTGAGGGTTCCATCCCTAAGTCCCGTCTAGGTAATTTGGGTCCTACTGATATGAGTAGCGTAAGTTTTTCTTTATTTTCCCCATGCAAAAAAACTTAGTTTGTACAGATTACATTTTAATGCCTATCCCTTTGTGTTTTAAGACCAATTTATTACAGCCCTATGACACCACATGACACCAGTATAAGTTATCCTCGGCTTTAATCCCAAGTCAGATTATTTGCAGACGACACTGCTGTATACCTAACCATCAATTCCTCCTCAGACCCCCCAACTCTCCAACATGATCTAGACAATATGGTTCTGTGGGAAAAGCAGTGGGACATGGAGTTTAACCCTTCAAAATGCCAAGTCATCCATATCACCAAAAATAAAACCATAATTAAACACAAATATATGCTCCATGGCCAAGTCCTAGAGTCTGTTACAAATGCTAAATATCTCGAAATAGATCTATCTGCTGACCTTAAATTTAATACACATATATCTCGAATAACTTCCAATGCAAACAGATCCCTTCATGGCTTTATTAAAAGAAATGTCATTACTAACAAGAGCTGTCACAGGAGACAGCGAAGCTCGACTAATAAAATACTGGACGCAGTAAGGAGGACAAAACTATGAAAGAAAAATCAATTATGTATAATTACGTATTAAGTTATAGTAAAAAAATAACATTTGTTAACATAAATTCCAAGATCAAGGGGAATAATTATAGAAAAAGTCATGCTAGAGTTATGGATCTTGCCACACAACATTTGTGTAATGATAAGAAATATATATTTGAAGTTTGAAGTAGATACCTTAAAAAGTAAAGAAGTTATTATATTTCTTAAAGAAAATCCTAAGTTCAAAGAGAGATAAATCTGTAAATATTGCTTCAAGAGTTATGAACATTGTCACATTAAATGTAATTAATGATAAGGTATAAGTATTTGAAGTTTGAGGTAGATACCTTTAAAAATAAAAAAGTTAAAATAAAAAATAACATTTTTCTAGTAAATAAATCTAAGTTTATGGGGAGATAATTCTTGCAATATTGGTGCTAGAGTTATGAACCTTGTCACATAAGATGTGGATGATGATTACGTAATTATATTTGAAGTATAAAGTTGATCCCTTTAGAAATAAATAAGTTACAGTAAAAAATAATATTTTTTATGGAAAATTCTAAGTTCAAAGGGAGATAAATCTGAAAATATTGGTGCTAGAGTTATGAACCTTGTCACATAAGATGGGGATGATGATAACGTAAATATATTTGAAGTATGAGGTCGATCCCTTAAGAAACAAAGAAGAAACAGTAAGAAATAGTATTTTTTGAGGAAAATTCTAAGTTCAAGGGGAGATAAATCTGAAAATATTGGTGCTAGAGTTATGAACCTTGTCACATAAGATGGGGATGATGATAAGGTACATATATTTGAAGTATGAGGTTGATCCCTTAAGAAATAAAGAAGAATCAGTAAAAAAATAGTATTTTTTAAGGAAAATTCTAAGTTCAAGGGGAGATAAATCTGAAAATATTGGTGCTAGAGTTATGAACCTTGTCACATAAGATGTGGTTGATGATAAGGAACATATATTTGAAGTTTGAAGTTGATACCTTAAGAAATGACAAAGTTATAGTGAAAAATATTTTACTGCACCAAAACTTTAATCTAAAATCTGGACGCGGACGCCGACGCCGGGGCGAGTAGGACAGCTCTCCATATACTTCGTATAGTCGAGCTAAAAATGAGAAAGTGAAAAAACTAGCATACAAGTCCCTGGTCCGCCCACAGGTTGAATATGCCTCAACTATTTGGTCTCCTTACACTAAAACCAATATTGACAAAGTTGAGATGATCCAGAGACGCGCAATAAGATGGGTTAAAAGGGATTACTCCCCTCACTCTAGTGTCACAGCCATGCAGGAAGAACATGGGCTGGCGATCCCTTGAACATCGCAGATTGGACTGTAGACTGATAATGTTTTACAAGATATACCATAACCTAGTTGCAATTTATTTCCCACCATATGTTCAAGCCCCACATAGATTAACCAGACATATGCACCCCTTATCCCTTCGCCAAATACAGGTATCCTTCGACTACCATAAGTACTCTTTCTTCTCTCATAGCATTATACTATGGAATAAACTCCCTAGTAACATTGCCACCCTGCCCAACTTGAGTCAGTTCAAACAGGCAGTGGTGGGTTTGCAGTACTAGTCTTACTCCCAGTGTTTTTAAACTATTTTATCTCTTATCATCTTGTTTCACTATTAACATTTTAACCATGACTAGAATACATTTTCAGTCTCACCTTCCAAGCATGTCAATGTTTGGACTTTTCTTTTTTAGCTTTTCTTTTCACCTTTTACTAACAATCCGACTTGCACTAAATTCCTGCCTTTAACACTCGTAAGAGGGGTTGGCAGTATCCAGAGATAGATAGAATTAAAAGCAATCCATTGTATTATTGGATTAACATTTCAACATTGCAATGCCAAAATCCCATAAAAAAAACTAGAGGTTTTCTCACAAAAAACATGTATCTCGGAGACTCTCCCAAAACTATGGCTGGCCAATTATGTGAAGTTTTATTGAAATCCTACCAGAAGCTTGACCTATGAAAGCCAGACAAGATGTTTCTATTTATAGCTCTGATGGCCATTTTGTGCAGCGAAGCTGAACATGCCAGTATTGTGCACAACTTTGAACAAGAGATTGCACTGATTCCTCCTGTAAAGTTTGGTTGAAATCCCACCAGTAGTTTTACCTGTGAAGGCCGAACAAGAGCAATATTTTTCTAATTTTAGCTCTGGCGGCCATTTTGTGCAGCCAAGCGGAACATGCCGGTATTGTGCACAACAAGGGGTGGTACCGATCACTCCTGTGAAGCTTGGTTGAAATCCCACCAGTAGTTTGACCTGTGAAGGCCAGACAAGATTTTTCTATTTTTAGCTCTGGCGGCCATTTTGTGCAGTGAAGCAGAACGTGCCGGTGTGCACAACTAGGGATGGTACTGATCACTTATGTAAAGTTTGGTTGAAATCCAACCAGTAGTTTGACTTGTGAAGGGCGGACAAGCTAAATCAAATGGACAGACGTACAGACAACTAAGGCAAAAACAATATACAGTCTAACTTGCCCATGCGACCACGTGTATTAAGCGACTTTTGTCTTAAACGACCACTTTAAATTCCCCCCGATCATTTTCTCTCTATATCTTTAATGTATTAAGCGACTTTTGCTCAACGCGACCAGCGACCGCTAATTAGTCACCTAATTGACATCAATCTTTTCATTAAACGACCACTTTTACCTGTCAAGTAATTGTGTTTTTAGAGAACGCCACCTCGTTATGTCACAAGTGTCAGCAATCAAAACACAACAATAAACGTGTGAAAAACTCTATTTCCCATACCGTTTTAGCGTATGCAAATGAAGTTAAGTATACGCGTGACGTGTATTATCCAATAATATCGGATAAACAATGCAACGCTCCGCCCATACTGAGATGGTATATACGCTTCGCTTGTTGACATTTAGACTGCATTGAATTGACCTTGAACTTGATCAGCCATTAAATTAATCGTAACAAATGGATGTAGTTTGTTTATTTCAAATGAAAAAATGCACAACAGAAAACATCTTCACTAATAGGGTTTTCGTGTTGGAGACAAGGAAAAACAACGGAGAAGTTAAAAAATTCTGGAAAAAATGTCAAACATGTACGTAATGGATCAAAACTGATTTTGTCAATAAATATCAGAACGTTATTTTTACATTTGCATCCGTTTAGATTATCGGAGCGTACTTATTATTCAACATTTATATAAAAATGAAGTTGAAAAACAATCCCATCGAATAAAAAAGATGTCATTTATAAATTTTGACTTTTATATCATGCTGACTGTCTTAAGAGACCGTTTCATTAAGCGACCGTTTTTGATGTTTCCCTTGCCCGGTCGCTTAATACACGTTTGACTGTAGATCTCCCGAGACATAATTCCCAATAAAATAAAGCCAAGTAAGTTCATGATGTAGAAGTACTTGCTGCAGTACATGTGCCTATGTTAGTATGTACAGGCTTTTGCAACAATTTTGTGTGACCATTTACATATTTGGGATGAGATGACTGATTTAGCATGCATTTTGTGCATGTATCTTACCTGAGAACATCATCCACGTGATTCCTGTACACCCCTTCCAGTTTCTCTGCAGGAAACCCCATAGCAATGATGTTTGGGTAAATATCTTAAAGATTGCATTAAGGAATATAAAACAATATTATGACAATTACAATGATTATAATTGAAACGAAGAATTTCATAATGCTTAAATATTCAAATTTTTATTATTTACTCAACAATTACTTCAATGAACCAGGAAATTAAATTAACCCACTTAAAATTTGGTTTGTATTTGTTTTCAACCTATTTGCCACTGATACTCTAACAAAGTATTTTACACGCTATAAAAAATTGAAAATGATGCAATTTTAACAACTTGAAGTTATACCAGGAAAAATACTTGATCTTAACTTCTTAATTAAAATGATGCAGGGAATAGTTCCATATAGAAACAGTCAATAGTGACTAAATGAGGCATTGAAAACTAAAGGAAATAGAAACTGTCTATATTTCTTATGACGACTTTAAACTTTTTACAATCAGTAGCATCTGACACATGCAAGATTTGAGTTTCAAACATCTGCGCGGTCTTTCGATTGCTCTCTACACCATCAGGCATCCTTGTGCGAAACATTGCCGTTTCGTTGCTATTGACCAATCAGAAGACTCCTTACAAAATACCAAACAGCTGATTTACAATGGCGTAGAAAGGAATCAAAAGACCGTTGAGAGGTTTGAAACTCAAATTTCTCTTGTATCAGATGCTACTGAGGGTTGCGAGTGGTCCCATTTAATGTATTTAATAATATTATTTAGTAAATTCATGTGATTTTGACCCGTACTCGGATGACAAACATGTATAAGTCTATGTTTGTGTACCAAATTGTTGTGCCATATATTTTTCTACCTGGGATTTTAAGCACGAATGCGTTCCTTTCCTGATAGTTATTTCATGAACGGGAAGGGATAGAGACTTGGGGTCGGTCTCATTTGGAAGTTTTATACAAACATGAAATATTGATAAAAGTGCCTGTGGGTTTGATACTCTGTACAACATGTCATCAGGCTGATGTCATCAGTGCCAAACTTTTCCAATTTGCTTTTTTTCCTTTGAACAGTGTTTTCTTCATAGAATGACAATTTTTAAATAAGATTTTATCAAATTAGAAACATATCTGAATCACAGAACCACAGGGCGCTTGTGCGCAAGATCCTGCCCCCCCCCCCCACGTGATAGGCCCCTGTTTACACTCTATTCACAATATTTTAATATTAAAACACAAATGGGACATCTGCTACAACAATAAAACAGGTTTTAAAACAATTTTTACATATATGAAAAAAATACCCTATACTATTGATAAAGCGTCAATAAAGAAAGAAATGTAACAAGAGGGCCATGATGGCCCTGAGGTCGCTCACCTGTATATGGCCCCCCCCCCACCCGGGCCAATTTTTACCCAAGGGCTTTATTTGTTTATTTAAACAGACTTAGTAGACACCCATAAGAAAATGTTTCATGCTAAACATCTAAGTTCTTGCTCATTGGGTTTTTAAAAGAAGATTTTTAAAGTTTTTACTATACACATATAGTTAAAAACAATGACACCCCTGGGGCAGGGCCAGTTTTGACCCCCGGGCCTTTATTTGAACAAACTTTGTAGATATTTACTTAAAGATGTTTCATGCTTTATTATCTAAACTCTAGCTATTTGGGTTTTTTCAAAGAAGATTTTTAAGTTTTTGCTATACACAGATAAGGAAAATCAATGACCCCCCCCCCCGGGGCGGGGCCAGTTTTGACCCCAGGGCTTTTATTTGAACATACTTGGTAGACACCCATTAGAACATCTTTCATGCTAAATATCTTAGCTCTAGCTTATTGAGTTCTTTAAAAGAAGATTTTTTAAGTTTTTACTACATGCATATAGGGATAATCATTGACCCCCTGGGGCTGGGCCAATTTTGACCCCAGGGCTTTTATTTGAACAAACTTGGTAGACACTCACTAGAAGATGTTTCATGCTAAATATCTTAGCTCTAGCTCTTTGGGTTCTTTAAAAGAAGATTTTTTAAGTTTTTACTATATGCATATAGGGAAAATCAATGACCCCCTGGGGCGGGGCCAATTTTGACCCCAGGGTTTTAATTTGAACAAACTTGGTAGACACTCACTAGAAGATGTTTCATGCTTAATATCTTACCTCTAGCTCTTTGGGTTCTTTAAAAGAAGATTTTTTAAGTTTTTACTATATGCATATAGGGAAAATCAATGACCCCCTGGGGCAGGGCCAATTTTGACCCCAGGGCTTTTATTTGAACAAACTTGGTAGACATTCACTACAAGATGTTTCATGCTTAATATCTAAGCTCTAGCTCTTACGGTTCTTTAAAAGAAGATTTTTAAGTTTTACTATATGCATATAGGGAAAATCAATGACCCCCCGGGCGGGGCCAATTTTCACCCCAGGGCTTTTATTTGAACAAACTTGGTAGACACTCACTAGAAGATGTTTCATGCCAAATATCTTAGCTCTAGCTTTTACGGTTCTTTAAAAGAAGATTTTTTAAGTTTTTACTATATGCATATAGGGAAAATCAATGACCCCCTGGGGCGGGGCCAATTTTGACCCCAGGGCTTTTATTTGAACAAACTTGGTAGACACTCACTAGAAGATATTTCATGCCAAATATCTAAGCTCTAGCTCTTAGGGTTGTTTAAAAGAAGATATTTAAAGATTTTTCTTTCGGTTGCCATGGCAACCAGAGTTCTACATGGAATTAAATTCTTTGAACAATTTTTAAAGGTGACCACCAAAGGAACATTCCTGTGAAGTTTGGATGAAATTGGCTCAGTGGTTTATGAGGAGATGTCATTTAAAGCAAAAGTTTACGGACGGACGACGGACGGACGGACGGACGGACGGACGCCGGACGAAAAGCGATCACAAAAGCTCACCCTGTCACTTTGTGACAGGTGAGCTAAAAAGTCCAACCAATACGCGACCTGACCCTAGCATATGCTTGTGTTCTTGTTTCCCTTTTTAAGCCGGGACTAGACACTATATTTTTCTCACAACTAAACATGTATCAAAATCGTCACTTTTGGAAGACCAAATATGACCGTCAAATTCAAATATTTATATTGTACAATATATAGAATAAAAAACTTGGAAAACAACACACTGTGCATCTTGGTAATAGTTTTATAACAAATAAATGTCTTCCAAATGAGCAGACAGCTAACACGACGATAAAATGCTTGAGAAGTTGATAGCAAGTATACTGATTGTGTATCAGCTTGACCAGCGCTCCATGCAGAGCCGGGAACTCTTCTCGTATTGCTTGGACAGATTGCAAAATTTACTTTCGGAATACATCGCCTGTTATCATTGAGTAACATTGTAAATGGCGGCGCCTTACTAGAACTGACACTGAAAATTTCATTGATAGGTATAGAATTCTATATATTTTTTAATAGTTTTTTTTATTTGATTTTCTTTTAAATATACACGTGTTGTCTATAGCCGGGCAAGCCAAAGCCTGGGCCCGCGGACTTTGACTCCCCGGTTTAAAATATATTTATGTTATAAATTTATTATTTAATCATAAATATAACTTTGCATACACATATACAATGTACTTTGTATTATATTTATAAATGTGTCTTGCAACTTTGACAATCTTTATCAAGATAACAACGCTCGCAATTACCTTCATATTCATTTTTACTTATTTTATAAAGGTGGGGCATCTTTATTAAAGTGAACACAGAGACAAATGCAGGTACTTGGCTAAATTCCTTGTTTAAAGACAAAAATAACATATGCATTTTCGACATTCATATAATTTTGAAAAGTGCCATACGGCTAGGGGTGTCATCGATTCAATTGATATCGGTGTATCAACGATCTTTGTTAACCGATTCCATTTTTTAAATATCAGATATCGAATGCACATATATTTCTAGCTAAAGAGACTTCAGCTAACAGGTTTTATAGTACTGATAGACTTATTTACTGTCGCAAAACGTCAAAATAAAAGCGACATATAAAGTTTAGAAGCCAGAAACATTTTTTTTTCTAAAATGAAAACGGAAATCAATGCTAAAGTTACCTCCCAGTGTCTCTAACAAATGCTGCCTAATTTCGATGTAATCTCGCACATCTTCTAAGTGAATGTCAAGACCCCTCAATTCAGATTTTAAAAAGGGAAAATGCCAAGAAAAATTTGTCAGTGTTTCTTTGTAAAAATTATGATTACAAAATGTTAAACTTTTATAATTATTCAGGTTCTAAACACTATAATTTGCCAATTAAACCCAGCTTATTTGGAACGGCAAGGACGGGATTTAGCATGATCAGTAACTACGTAAAAGCAACAACAACAACTAAAGTAAAATGGAAACAGCTTTAAACTTTATAGTTACTAGTCATTAGTTTTCATTTATAGCTATATGATAAAAAAAGAAACAAATTGTTCAGTTTTCAAAGTGTATCTTTTTTGCATTTGTCTAAATATAACTGCTTTGTCAGTGTCCTTAGGAAACATTTAAAAGACTTAAAGCTAAAATTTAGCCTATCAATCGAATTATCGCCGATAATTCATTCCCGATATATTGATACAAAAATCCTTATCGATGACACCTCTACATACGGCTACACAATACAGTGTGTCATGGCTAGCTGTACATGACTCACATACGGCTAGAACTTTTGGCAAGGATCTGACCCCAAGCGTCCGTGTCACAGAACCTGTAGAGAAAACTATTCTAAAAAAGGATACATGTCAAATCCAAATCAAAACCATCTTCTTTGTAGCGTCTCTTGTTTTTACTGACAAGTGACCTTACTACATCCATTTTGTCCGAAGTATTTAGAAATTATTTCCTTAAATTCATAAACAGATAAAATTCAAAACATTTTTTTTTCACTAGATCTATAAATTAAATCTTTATCCTCCAATGGCCTTTGCTCGGTAAAAACATAAAATATTTGATAAACTAAACACGACTACATTATTGTCAATGACTAATTATCTTTCACACATGTAAAGTAATAACTCTAGCAAGTTAAACTATGTCGTCACTATTTATATGAGTTTTAAATCGAATTTATTTAGTCACAAAACTTTTATGTTTTTCCTTTATGGCGGATCTTCCTGGTGCAGTGATATCATGTAATTAAAATAGTTCGTTATTAAATTCAAGTAAAAATAGACAGCTAAAATGATGAAAAAAAATTGCATTAGAAAAACACAAACATATTTAATTCACATAGATATATAATTCAAAAACAGAATGTATATTAATTTGTTTAAGCGAAAATAATAAAATAGTCCACAGCATCCGGTTGACCGATTGACCCAGTTTGATAAGGGAGTTAACTCTTTCTGGATTTAGCTCAATACAGGATTGGAGCAGAACCTCTAGACGCTTGCAGAAATCATGATCACAAAATAGACAAATATCGTTTTTTTCGCCGAATTTTACATTTTTCCTTGATTATCGTACTTGATTTGGTGTGAAAAGATTATTTAGACCTGTTAAAGTTCATTCCATTGGGTTAAAAGACAAGATTTTAGCATTTTATCATTCAAGCGCCTTGTCCGGTATATACCGGAATACGGTATTTAGTGTGGTGCTCCAATCCTTTTTTTAGTCACAGCCACTCTTTCTTAGTTTGTTTAAAATCCAGTAACAGTGCCGTACCATAGAAAAGATACCGGATTGTGGTGTCCAGAAAGTAGTTCGTTTGATTGCAGCTATTTTTTTGACATTTTATCTAATAGATCTATCATTTCCGCAATATTTATGTTTCTCTACAAAATCACACAGATTAATTCTACGGTTAGGGTAAGAGGGTTATGGATTAGGGTTAGGATTTTTGTATTTTTTTGGACAATTTGTAAACTCATCGGTGAAAATGTCTGAGAAATATGGCTTATATACTACAATTCGGGCCTAAATAAGAATTCGTAACATATTCTTAAAAGAGCTTACATACAGAATTCCTTCTGAGATTGATTTTAATGCTTGTCTTAGTCAGAATGCTGAATCTATAGAGGATTTTTCGGTCAAATGGTGTCCCCGTGAAAATGCGGGTATAGTATTAATGCTCTCACGGATTTATATTACATAATATAAATCCGTGATGCTCTATAGTTAGATGGAAAAGTAACATCTTTAAAATTATTGAGTCACGTATTAATTTTTATCGTGGAAATGAACATCTTCTGCCACCTAAACCAAGACTTACTTTAAGACATCTGAAAAAGAATATTCTAGCTTTCATTCAAAATTTGTTTTGGTGCCAGCGGACAAGGCGGCTAATAATATTATAATTGTATGACGAATCCATTACATTAACGTTTTGCATAAGGAACTAAATAGTACTAATGCGTATTCTAAAACCTCTGCCGTTGAAAAAGACATTGTAAACAATCATATCGCTAATATTTCCAATCTTAAAGTCCAAATAAATGGAAAAGAACTCGAACTTCCTATTATGTATTGGATTCCTAAATTGCATAAAAAAAACTTACAAAGCCAGATTCATTGCTAATTCTACATCTTGCACTACAAGTAAACTTTCTATTTTATTGACTTCTTGTTTGACTGCTATTAAAACACATGTAATTAGATACTGTGATAAAGTCTATGAAAACACAGGCAAACATCTCTTTTGGTCTATTAAAAATTCTGGTGAAATCTTGAACAAATTTCAAAAAATAAGAACTTTCAAGCTTCAACTGTCAGTACATACGATTTTTCTACACTTTATACAACTTTACCACATCAATTAATTATGATAAACTAATTTCTCTAATTCAGAAAACTTTTGAACGGGCAAAAGTTACCTTTCTACCATGTAATTCTAACAAAGCTTTTTTTACTCACGGTATTGTTAAACATTATACTATAATTAAGGACCTGTGACGAAGTTTGTAGAGCACTCTCTTTTCTCTTAGACAACATTTATGTCAAGTTTGTTAATACCCTGTTGAAACAGATCATAAGAATTCCTATGCATATGGGTACTAATTGTGCACCCCTTGTCGCCGATTTGTTTTTGTACTGCTATGAAAGAGACTTTATGTTGAGTCTCTCTGAAGATAAACAACAAGATGTTGTCGTCGCTTTTATCAATACTTCCAGATACCTTGATGATATTTTTAATTTAGATAATTCTTATTATGATCAAATGGTGTCTGACATTTAGAAAAAATGTATCCCCATGAACTACAACTTAATAAAACGAACTCTTGAAATTTTAGTACATCATTTTTGGATCTTCATATCCCTATCAACAACAATTCCGTTCACACGAGAATTAATCTATGATAAAGAGATGACTTTGATTGTTGTAGTTAATTATCCACATTTAGATGGAGACGTACCCCATGCAACATCTTACGGGGTATAATTTATGTTTCTCAGTTAATAATATTTGTTAGAGCTTGTAGCAACGTAAAGGATTTCAATTTCATTACCAACAGGGCTACCGCTATCATAAATTACGGAAATATTTTACAAAATTTTATAATCGTAATTTTGATTTAATTTCAAAATTCAAAAGTGATTTAGAATAAAGTGATTTAAAAACTCTTCTGCGAGCCTGATTTTTATGGCGATGTGATTTACAAACTTCTTAAGATTTTGGTTCATGGTATTTTTTCTGCTGTTTTTACTAAAATCATTAAACGTTTTATTAAAAGAGGTTATGACCCTACTATTTTAAGACATACTGCATGCTTAGTGTTCAACCCTTTTACAGTTGGACACTACGCTTTCCTCTTTTGATTACATCTGACGGACCAAGTGGGAGACTCTATGATGGACAGTTCTTAAAGCCCTTTGGGACTGAATTGCCTTAATGTTCGTCTTCTGCCTTGCTTCGTCGGGCCCTTGTAGGTGATTTTCTTGTTGCTCTGTCTTCCTTTAAGACATTGAGTACTTTTGTTATGGTCATTGGGTTTTCTACATGATCATTTTGGTGTTTTACTTATTTCACCTTTTGTAACCATAACAGCTGTTAAAATTTCACTTGGTGTGGATTAATTTTATTTACACTGTCTCGTTTATAGGAACATGGTGGGGCTAAGAGTGAGGTTTGGTGCACCATTAACCGGTTTAAACTCCCCAGCAGTACTTGTGCTGCTGACCGTTCCAAGGCGTTGCTCCTATGTGTTCCTCAGATGCATGTCGATGTTGTTTCATACTGTTTTGGTGACATTTTTGCTTGTGGCCCATGTTGTTATCGTTTACGGTAAGTATCTTCCCCTTTGCCCCTAGTTTTATTTCTTTAATTAACCCCCTCGCTTCCCCGGGTCTCCTTCCCCTTCTCCTGTGCCCTGTAACTTTGTAGGCCTATTGTTCAATCATTTATTTGTTTTCTTTGAATTCCTTGTCATTTACAAATTATTCAATCATTTATTTGTTTTCTTTGAATTCCTTATAAGTAACAAATTATTTATCATTTTAGTGATTAGCCTGTCCGTGCTCTGCCTTGGGCCCTGTCCAGTTTTTGTTTGTGGTCTGTCTGGGCTCCTTGCCACCGGTTCTTGTTGCTGGGTCGTGTGGGGGTTGCGTTCATAGAACGCCGCCTTTCCTTGTTGATCTTGTTTATCATATTTTAAATATTTAATAGGACATAAAGGACATAGGCGATTGGATGAACATGTGATGTAAACAACTCATCTATATTGCATTGATCACTACCATCAGTAAAAAAGTTCAATCAAACCGAGCTGCAACCGTTCCAATTTTGCCACGTCAGGCGTTCTTCAATTGTTTAGGAGCAAACGTAAGCTCTGCATGTAAGAAGTTAACACATTGTGTATCTTTTCCAGTTTGAAGATTTGAAGATAATTTTGGAGTGTGTGTGTATACATGTAGTCAAAAGGTGGGTATCATATTCTTACTAATATTGAAACAACTAAATAGTTTCCTTACTTCATTACTCTACCTTGATATGTAAATGTATGTATATTCCTTTCAGGCTGGATCAGAATAGCACTGTTCATTTCACATGAACTTTTAAGCATATAGCATGTAAATGTTTAACAACTGCGAATAGGAGACAAACAATTTAAGTAGAAAAGTACAGACTGCATTATATCATACAGTTAACAAAAGACATGTTATTTTTTAAAAACATCTTTCGAAAATACTCACTTTCACAATCGCTTTAAATACAAAAATAACTATATATATGACAAAATACGAGGGCTGTATTTGACCTGCAAAGCAATGCTGCCTTTGGTATTATTTAAACCAATGTGTTTCCTATGTTAAGACTGCAACAGAAAAGAACTTGCACAACGACACAAGCAAACATATAATCTAATAAACTACAAAATGATTTGAAACCTGAAGACCAAATATAACATATTGTCATTTTCTGTACTCAACGGGTAAATGCAACCATAAATGTCTTATTATAAAGAAAATATATATACAATAACTGTATATTTATTTTGATTCTAATCATGATATTACGCCAATCTTGCGATATCAGGTTTTATGAAACTGGATTTTGTTGGAAGCAGCGTTCATTTAAACCTGCCTTTCAAAAGGGACAGGACGTGAAGTGGTTGCACACTTGGTTCAAGTGAGAAAATTGGTTGCAAACTTGACAAAATGACAACTGAGTCATGAACATTTACAATTGTCGCACGTATTTTCTTCAGGGAAGTGGGTTTGTATGTTATTTTGAAAAATATGCCTATTCCTTAAGGCAATGTTATGGCACACTCGGTTTTAGGTTTCATCTTCCTAGCTTCTGATTTGACGAAATTATTGATGATATAAACTGGTAATGTACATATTTTTCGATTTTGACAGGTTACAATTATAGCCGCATTTTCTACTCATTTATTTACATCTTTAGGTTTTTAAGTTCACCAAAAAATACAAAATATATTTCTGTCAATCATGTATAAATGTTTTAATTTGCATGTAATACAAAAAGATATTCAAGCGCATTTTAGTTGCAAACTTGTACTTGAAGCATTTTTGGGTCAATATTATTGCTTATATAGGAGTAGATCGAACTATCATTTGATGAAATAATTGTTCCTTATAATTATTATGGTACATGATTATTTTTGATATTTAGTGCCATAATGATTGAATATATTATATTAAAATGCTAATGGAAGTATTTTAAATTGGTAGATTCTAGAAGGAATTCAAAGACAATTCCATGAAATGTTAGGACAGTATACAATTTGTATCATTTAATTTCATTTTATTTCAATATTGAGGGTTACCTTTGACAAGGTTTAAGAAAAGTAGTTTTGAAAAATGTTATTTCTTGAAAAATAAAAATAGAGAAAAAAAACTGT